GAGAAGGCAAGCACACGTGTTAAGGTTTGGCCTTTGGTTGTCAGGCACGTGCAGGGCCATGGGTGCAGCAGGACAGGAGGGCCAGTGCAGCCTCTGGCTCTTCAGAGACTGCAGGTGCAAGGAGCACCCCGGGAGGGCTGAATTCCCTCAGGCTTTCAGCAAGTTCTGGTGAAGGAGATGTGCTAGGGACACTTCAGGGCAGAAGGCAGTAAGGCAATCCCAGAGAAGCCCTCCTCCACGGGGCTGTGTGTCCACATGTCCGTGTGTCCATCTGTGTTCCAGTGCTTGTGGTGGGACCCAGCGTCACCGGAGTCACCAGCATGACCTGGGGGCCCTGGGAATGCAGAGCTTCCCTCCATCACTCTGTCTGCCAATTTACTTTTTAAGCCAATAAACTCCAGAGGGGAGCCCCCACCTAAGGATGCTCTTTGGCTTCCTGGGTCCATAAAACCCTACAAGTCATTCTCCTCTGCTGTTACCATTTTTTACACAGTCTTTTGTAAGATCTCCAACTGACTATGCAGAGAATGTGTGGATCTGTGTCTCTCTCCCCAGCTCCCCTCACTTCCTCACTTGCCTTTTTCAGTGTCTCAGTAAAATATTTAGCTTTTTTTTTTTTTTTTTGATAATAATATGACTTCGGAAAAAAACCTGAAAAGGTCCAGCTTTTTGGGTGGTGGGGGGGGTGGAGATGCTTTGAAACTCTAACGTTGATGTAAATACTTTGCTATTTGATAATTAAATACAAACAGACCTCACAAAACAGAAGTGTAGCTTGTGTATGACAGGACTTGTTAGCTCCTTAGCATCCCTGTTAGAGGAGCTGATGCTGCCTGGAGCCTGTGTGAAGCTCCTGGTGCTTCAGACACTTTTTTGGAAGATGCTTCTGGGATCTGGTGGGGCTTCTGTGCTGCTGGAGCCATTCCCCAGACAGGCTCGAGGCTCAGCACAGACCAGGGCCATGCCTGGCATCTCCAGCAGTCCTGGAGGAAAAGCAAGTGACACAGTGATTGCAGTCAGGCCTGAGGGGTGTTCCATGTGCCCCCAGCCTGGGACGCTGGCACTGTGTGGCCCAAAGCAAGCACAGGGCAGGGCAGGGGTGGTGCTGGTGCTGCCAGAGCACAGGGCAGTGTCCCTGAGTGAAGCCACCCAGGCTGGGCTGGGGGGACAGGACAGGGGCAGCCTCCCTTCGGCAGAATCTGCTTTATCAGCAACTCTAAGAAACAAGCCTGCTGTGTTAAGGTAATTAGTGGGTGCTGAGTGGGATCCCTCACTCGGTGATGAGTAATTGACATACAGCACAGTGCAGGGTGTAGGGGGTTTTCTAAATTCACAGTGGATGCTGCTGCTGCTCCTTCACCGCTACCATCATCACCACAGTCTGGGGTGGCTTTAGTGCCCCAAGCCCCCAGCCTGGCTGCTCCCTCTTCCACAGACTGGTAAGTGACTCAGTCTTGTCACCTTAAAAGTTTAATGCTTTATGTTTAGTGTGTCTTTAAAAGAATTAAGTGATTGAGGGATTATCTCATGTGTGCAGGTCCCTTGGTCTCTGAACAATGCCCTCAGATCTGCACCTTTAGTGTTGCTGTCTGAGAATGGGATGGCCATGGGGGGTGAAATGGATGAGGAGATGGGTGCTGGGGGAGGGCTGGGTGCTGCTGTCAGCCTGACCTCTGGGGAGGTGCAGGGGAACTGAGGTGGTTTGTGTGCAGGGCATGAGGGGACTGGATTCAGAACTTCCAAGCCCTGCCTATGGCACTGTTTGCTTCCTCCTCTCACCGTCTTGTCCACAGCCTCAGTGGCAGCTGAAACATCTTAGAAAGGTATTGGGGTGGGGCTGTGGCTGCCCCTGAGCAGCTCCAGTGAGGAGGCAGGGGTCCTGTGCTGTGCAATTTGTGTTGGCAATGGGCTCTAAAATGGCGAGGATGAGTTGTTGTTTGACTTGAGCATCCCCTTCACTTCCCCAAAGCTCAGTGGCAGCACTCCCCAAGAACGTGGACTCCTGGCTCCCACAGGATAAATGCTTTTGAGTACACAGGGTCAGCCCTGAACTGCAAATCCCGAGTTGTGCTGAGGGTCTGGGGTCTCTCCCACAGCCTAAATGCAGCAGAAGCTCTCCTGGGGCAGGAGCAGGGTGCTGTATGTTAAAGGGCTGGCTCACAGCAGGACTGTCCCCCTGTGTCAAGCTCTCAGGTTTTACTGGCAGTGTCACCAGGGCTCCCACAGTGCCTGTTACTCACTGGTAACAAGGGGTGGACAGGAGGCTGCCAGCATGTGTTCACTCCGAGGACACAGCCTGTTGTCACTTGGATCTCATCCCCTCCAGCAGCAGGTCTGGGTGGCACCTGAGCCATCTGTCCTCCCTTGCCCTAGTACCAGAGGATTTGCCTTTGCTGGAAGAGTAGCAAACCCTGTTGCCAAGGGGTAATCTCCAGGCTCTGGGGGAGGGCTGAAGTCCTTACCTGACTGTAGCTTACCTCCCACGGCTGGGAAACCACCTGGTGCCAGAGAAAAGCTGCAGGGCAGGGCTACCTGTGACCCTGAGCCATGTTTGTGGTCTGTCTGCCTCAGGAGATTGGCTGGACCAGCCTGGGTGACAGCACGAGGGGACAAGGCTGATGCTATTGCCAGTGGGACTGTGCCTCCAGACTTGGCTCCTTCCTGAGCCACTGGTGCGTGCTTCCAGCCCAAATGGCTCCTCCGTGGGATCAGCCTCTTTCCTCTGGCTGCTGCTGTTGGTAAGGCCACCTTGTGGGCTTGTCTCAGGGTGAGCAGGAAGAGAATCCATGCAGAGGCACTAATCACCCAGCAAGATCCCTGGCTGAGAAGCAGATGCTGGGAGAGCAGGCTGATTCTGACCTGCACCCCGAGCAGGGCTGGGGAGCTCAACTGCCAAGTATCAGATCCTAAGATGATGCACTGCCATGGATATTAGCCAGATCTAAAGCTTCAAAAAAGAAAGCAAGCCTTGTGGTATTCCAGCTGCTCATCCTGGGGATGCTCCCTCTCCCTGAGAGGTTGAGGAGGAGTAAGGAAAGCCCCTGAACCCTAAGGTTGTATTCACAAATCCAAGGACTGCCTGAGCCAAGCTGCATCTCTAAGGATTGGAACCTGAGCTGGCTTTTCTTTTGTTGTTTTGTTTGTTTTTTTTTTCCTTTATTGACCCTGCTGTGTCACTGATCTGTTATGTGACCTAGAAAAGAAAATGATCTCTCCCTCATACGGAAAGACAAAGGAACAGCTTAAGGCTCCAGCTCCTGTATCCAGGGAGCACCAGGCAGATGGACACTCTGTAATTCAGCAAGGTGATGACACTCACTCAGTGCCAAAGTGTCAAGTGACACCTGCGGGCAGCGTCCAGGCTCAGTGGGGCCAGGCACAGCAGTGGTTGTGCTCTAAATCCCACTGCTTTGAGCCACTGGTGCAGCTGCCCACACCCGTGGTCCCCACACAGAGAGCCCGTGGTGCCCCCAGGATACCCAGGGACAGAGCCACCCCACTGTTCTTCTGGCACAGAAGGGCAGAACATCTCGTGTGAGCATTTTTCCATGGAGCTGGCAAAGCCTGGTGAGCACTGTGGCTGTGTCTGTCCAGGCTCAGCCCCATCTGTGGTGCACAGGCAGGGAAGCTGTGATGCTGCTCTTCAGAAGCCATCGGGTCTGACCTGTTCTGCAGTCACAGGCTGGTTTTTCACAGTCTCTTTATGGAGAAGGATGAACCAGGCATTAGCATGGGATGTGAGACTTGGTTGGGTTCCTCCTTCTGCCCGAGGCTTTCTGTCTGACCATGCTTTACTTTTCTATCTTTACAATGAAGATGGTATCTCAGGGCCCTAAGGAGGGTAAGAGAGTGCTGGAGAGTGCACATCAAAGTGCTCCTTCTCTGCAGTAGGGGTGGGAGGCTTCTTATCCCATTGAAAGCTGTCCTGCAGCCTCCCTCTTTTGAAGTGCTTTTTTTGAGCTGGGTTTCATACAAGCAAGAGCCCGCAGCTGTACCTTGTCTTGAACCCCACATGCAAAGCCAGGGCTTGCTCTCATCCAAAGCACAGTCTGGCTTGGTGGCTAGCATTTATTTAAATTGCTGTAAAGTGCAGCTTGGCTAGTGAGCAACAGAAGTGTCCTCTTGACAGAACAGAGTGCATTAGCTTAAATACATTAAAATGTACAAGGTGCTCAGAGCACAGCTGTGCCATGGCTTGCAACGGGTGCCCTCCCCTCTCTTTCCATTTGTTACTTATGCCTGAGTTGATGTGACAGCTACTGGGACTTCCCTCAGCCTGACAGGTGCCAGAGTTGTCATATCTATTTTTGATGTGGCACAAGCTTTTCTTCAATCCTGTAAATAGTAATATGACCTGAACTCTTTCTAGCTTGGGCCTGGTCTTCAGAGCAAGGGATAAAGCCAAGCCTATTTCAGCTCCAGCAACACAGCTCCCACACCCTTTAACACTCTCAGGTGCTTCTGGGTGCTGCTGGATCCCACAGTCTGTCTCTCCCTGTTCTACAGGGGCATGGCCAAGGCTGGGGAAGGGCTCACACCAGCACGGCTGTCCCCTGGATGGCTGGTGGCAGCTGGGCTGCCCTGAGCAGAGGAACAGGCTGGGGTGAAGTGGTGTCATGGGATGGGCTTACAGCACGTGGGCACCCAGCAGACACCTCTACTGTCACTGGGGATCAGCAGCTTCCAGGACACAGCTCAGGGGTTTCATTTCCTAAGCAGCAAGAAAAAGGGGAATCTGTCACGGAAGTGCAGGCACACACAACACAGGAGGTGCTCTGCTTGTGAGGTGAGGCTGTTTGGGAACTGCCAGTCTGGCTCCCAGTCAGCCTAAACAGTCAAGAAGAGTCAGTAATGGGAGCTACAGGGCAAACAGGCTCTGCCTCTTGCTGGGGACTGCTGGGGCTGCTGTGCTGGGAACAGAACAATGCAGGGACACGTGACTGCTGGGCTAAGGCATCCACAATGAGCAGCCAATGCATCATGCTGGGCAGGAGGCCATAGACCAAAGTTTATAAAGCTTTATTAAACATTTTGAACAGCTGTGCAATGAACAAACAATACTCTGGAAGTTTCACAACCTCATAGCTTGAACTGCCTCAGGACAGCAACAGCCACTTCTGCTGCTCTCCACCAGAAGACTGAAGGAAAGACAAACAGATGGCAAAGGGGAGGGAAACCTTCAAAGTTTAGAGGTAAGTGTTTTGTGTCAACCTCTAAAGCTTCTTACAAACCAACCTCTGCCCCAGGCTGTAGGCCTGACCCACCATCACCCTGGATTTTTGACATCCTTCTGCCAGGGAAACTGGAGACACCAGGCATTTTTCCAGCTTCTGCCCTTCTCTAGTCAGTAGCACCAGCACCTTCTGTCACCTCTGGCCCAAAAACATTATCTCTGAAAATGGCTGAAGCATTTACTGCTTCAAGCCATCCCTCCCCCTCATGGATCCTCTCCTGCCCTGCCCACACTCAGCCTTTCGGGCTAGCATGAGTTTTGTATAAAGTTCACAGTGGCTTCCAAAACCAAAAGTGTCTTGCAGCATGCTGGTTCCTTCTCCCAACAGTCAATACCTTGGTAAACCCAGGATATGTAGAAGGAGGAGAAGAGAGAGTCTCTACTGCCTGTCAGGCTTTATAAAAGCAGCAGCATAACTGAGGCTTTCAGGCTGGGATCTCGGAGCAAAGAGTTCAGAAAGCACTTGGGCAGTGCACACATCTCTTTGGCAGGCTGAGCAGGAGGAGATGACTCAACTGCCTCTGGCTCCAGCAGCTTTTGGCCAAGTCCATTTGTGAGCTGTTGCACTCACCCTTGATCAGCAAGGTGGGAAGGCTGGCTCCCCACAAAGAGAGACTGAGAGAATCTTGTAGCTATTCAAGCAGGATCAGTGGGCCAAGAGCCCTGAGTTAGACCACCATGGCCTAATGCAGACAAGTGACACACAACTCCAGCACCCCCAGCTGGGCAGGGGCCAGCAGCTCAGGCTTCCAGCAGTTCTCAGCTGAGAGGGCTGGTGTCTGCTCCCGGTGATACGGGAAAGAAAGAAAAGACTTCTGCTTCTAAAAGCAGGTGGTGCTGCCAGAGTTCACACAGTAAACGAGTCGAATTTCACAGGCAGAGTGGGAAGAATTTGCCACTCCAGTCCACGCACAGTTACAGGAAATAGCTTGTCCTTACTCCAGTCCCACACCCAACACCCAGCTCCTCCCCAGCCCCACCCCTTTTTTAAAAAGCAAAACAAGAGCCCTCATCAGACTGGAAGATTATGATTTTCTAGGTGCCCACTATGCTGGGATCATGAGCTGATTCCGGCAACTGGGATCCTGTGCAGTGATACAAGAAGCAGTTCCCCCAGCAGCTGTAGCAAATGAGGAATAGAGCTGCCAGGAAGACCAAGGCACAAATTGTGCAAGGTTTCCGTTCCAGGAGAAAACTGAGCAGGTAGAATCCCATGAACATCGAGTGACTGAACCACAATGCTGGGTTGAGGGGCTTGGGTATGAGCAGGACAGGTAGCAACCACTGAAGGCAGTACATCGTGGCTGGCTGGGGCCTCGCTGGCAGTAGCAGTCAGATGTGCTCCAGAACAGGCTCCAGCAATTCCTCCGGAGGGCAGGCTGCTCTGTAGAGAGGAAGAAATGTCAGACTCTCAGAGAAATGCAAGGAAAATAATCAACTGACATGCTTCTAAAGCTTCATTTACTCCCAAGCATCATACGCTGATGGTTGAACTCCCAGTACTGAATTCTGATGTGTCTTGGAGCTGCTGGAAAGCTTTCTGAACCACTCCTCTGGGGACAGGATCAGCTAACGCTGGTACAGAAGCGTATCCTGTGTGCTCTGTCCCTCAAGCTAACAAGTGAGACCTTTTAGCACAGTGCAGGAACAGAAAGGAAGAGGTGGAAATGGGAAACAAGCTGCCACAGCCTTCCCTACACACATTGATCCGAGACAGTGCAAAGGCTTGAGTGATGATATGAAAAAATGCAGTTGAAGGGTAATCATTATTGGGTGCTACAGAGAAGTGTTAAGGAAGCATTTGTGTAAGGAATTGTTCTGCACACAAACAATAAAGTCTTCCAGCAGGACAGCACCAGACCTGCTACACATCAAGCTACCCAGGAAAGCCCTAGCAGTGTCCAGGCTGTAAAACAAAGGGGAGGACAGTCTCTGCTTAAAGATTTATAATCCTTGCCAAACAGCTGAAGTCAGATAAGAGAAAGTATGTGAATAGATCAAACAGGGGGACAGGCTCAAAATGGCAATTTCCATAAGTGCTGTAAACACAGGATTTCCTCACTTGGATTATTATAAAACCCTCTGGAAATTGAGCTTCAAGGGCTTTCCTAGGCAGGGATGGCAACACGCTACAAGTCCAGAAAACCTGCTCCTACCTTTAGCAATGACATTAAGTGTGTGCTTTTGTTTTTTCCTTTGGAGCACCACAAATCCCTTCAAGAATTTCAAATGGCTTTAAAAACAATAAACGCCTCACCCCCACCAAGAAGAGTCTGGTGGGGACAGCTCCTTGCAGCAAGCCTTGTATCTGCAATTACTCAATGGAGCAGGGCTCTCTCAGAAGGATGAAGGGCTCAGGCGAGCTGTTAGGATTACAGCTGGGGGGTGGGAAGGTTAGTAGGATGAAGGAGTGAGAATGTAAACAAACAGCACATTCCACCAGCTCCTGTTGGCAGGAGAAGGGATTTCCTGGCAAAGGGAGGGAGAATGAGGGATTGCAGAGAAAAGCCAAGAGAAAACCACAGGAGGTTCTCTTCCAAAAGAACACTGAGGTCAGACTTGTCTCGCAGGTAGCAATGGGCTCTGCTGTCAGCAGCAGGAAATGCTGCCATCCTGAGCAGCACCATCTATTTTACTTTAATATTAGCAGGAAAATGCAGGCCAACATCTCCACCAGCACAAACATCATGTGGGGAATACATTGTGCTGGTGCTCCTGCAAGGAGTGTTCTCCAGCAGAGAGAGCAGCTGGAGCTCAATGAGTAAAACTAAGCTACAGCTCAGAAGCCAAAGAGTAAGGAAAAAGCTATTTTATGCTGCAATACAGATAAAGCCAAGTCACAGGAATAAAGCTCCAATGTTAGTCCTGTTTTAGGCAGGTCACTCACTCACATCTTTAAGGGCAAGTCTAGTCCCAAGCCTACACCCCATCTATAAACTGGAATTAGCTATTACTCATTTGATAATAAAACATGCTGTCTGCTTGCCTTTGTGAATTGCTCAGATGTCTCTGGAGTAAACAATACCACAGAAATACTAGAGAACTTTTTTCCAAGGGGAAGAATGGAGAGCAAAAAAAAATCTAACAACAAATATTTGAATAGGAAGGTAATTAAATCCCATCACCCAACACTTCAGTTCAGATTGCATTGAATACAGCAAAGTTGTACTAAATCAATGATCTACAGCTGCCTTAATCCTCCTGATATGTTCCTTTCTTGAAGTTTCCTGCATTTTTTTTTCTCACAAGTGCTCCAAACACCGAGCATTAAAAATCAGTGCCTAAACACCATGTTATGTTTTTGCTACATCCAGCACTAAGTTGTATCATCTTGACTTCTGTGGCAATTTGTGCCAGCTGTTCTCAAAACTTTAAACCAAAGTGCCTACTTTGCTTTGGGTTTTCTGTCTCCAGAGTAAAGAAATGGGTAAAGAATGTGTCTGTTAAGTAGCACAAGGCTGAAACAAAGAACTCGAATTTTTCAGAACTAATGTCACAAATCTCTCAGCTTTAATAGGCACATGTGTCACTATTGAGCCTTTAGCCCCAAACTTTACACCTGACTACAGTTAGAAAAGAATTATAACTTGTGTTGTAGAAACACTTTGTACTTCATGGTCTGGCCTCCTTGCTCCTACAATGCTCTTAACAATAACACTCCAAACACTGAGTTAATTTTAAGTGTCTAAGCTTTACTTGAGCAGCTCCTACAAACACAAAGCCATCTCACAACAAGTTACTCATTTTTAAATATTAGTATTTGCTGCAAGAACCAGCTGCTTGTAGCAATCAATGCAACCACTGCAGAATAAAGAACCATTTAATAGTAGTTATTCTTACTATGAAGTTTCAATGCCAATGCCCTTCAACCTGCAAACCTCTTGGATTTCTGCCAAATGCAGCCATTCAAACAGCTCTTTTTGTATCTGTAGTCGGTTTGTTTTTATTCTCACATGTGCCAACCAGTTAAAGGCTGAGGACCCTTTGCTGTATCCCACAGCTGATCCCAGACCAAGTACTTACTACTGGAGGCTGCTACAGCTCTGCCTTCCTCAGGGGACTCTCCAGGAGTAAGATATGTGCTCTTCACCAGAGATTCTCTGGACAGCTGGCATCGACACTGAGCTCTCTTTACACTCTATTGATCCAAGAGAAACAGCACCTCCTGCTATCAGCTCTTTACTGAGCAGGGAACATTCTCCTTCGTGCCCAGGACATGCAGATCCTTCTGGAAGTCACAACAATATCTGGTTTTGCCTGGTTTCTCAAGCAAGGTGAAATTTGCAAATTAAAGATTCCTACTTTGTTGTCTTTGTCCCCTCCTCACAATCCAAGCCAAAGATTACCACGTTCCAGAGCAAATAATAACCTGTCACCCAACAGGACTGGTTTCACAACTGCATCCTGTTTTCCCTCAACCAGCTGCTCTTGTTGTCCCCTGCCTGACTCACCTCTCGCCTCAGCCAGCGCCGTGTCCCGCTATCCCCAAACTGCTCCTGGTGGCCACTCATGTTTACCTGACAGCTCCTTCCCACTTCCTCCTTTCACCCTCCACAGCTCTTGGAGCCACCTGAACTCACTTCAGACCCTCAGCAGCAGAGCTGCTGATGCTCCCACTGTGGCCCAGTCTGATCTCCATGTGCTGCCAGAGCCAGTTCCTGCAGGCAGAGGAGGCTCCCTGCACACCTCCTTAATGAGCAAGCACCAATACTTTTCCACATGCTTATTAGCTGGCTTCCATTGCATTGCCAGCCTCCCTGCTGTCATCTTCCCTCCCAAAAACATTCAGGTCCTACTGGTGTATGTTTGTACCAAGGATTTTGGAATTCCAGTGCAAAGGCAGCAGCAGACCTTTCCCAAGCAGAAACAAAATTTCAATTCTGACAGGTCTAAAGTGAGTAGCACAGTAATGGATCAGACACGTTCTGGAATAAATCCATCTGAGGAGCTAGCAAGCTGTTCCTTCATATTCTACAGACTAACTCAGCAATCAACACACTGAGAGGTGTTCCTACACCATGGGTTTGGCACATCAGTATGTCAATACCCAGTCTGTACCTTTCTCAAGAATGTTTGAATTCTTTACCAGTCCATTTACCCTGGAAGGGGAGAATAATCAGCCAGCTTTCCTTACCACTGAAGGGTAAGCTTGTTCAGACCTCACAAAGGCAGCCTTTAAGGCAGTGCTGTCCACACAGAACTCCCCCAGCAGATGCTACAGAAAGAGTCTCCCAGGCTGAGAGCTGAAAGGTCCGCAATAAAACACTGAGTAACCTTTTTATTGGGGCGTGCTGGTATCATCCTCCCCCTTTGCCAAAAGCTCAAGTCTCTGCTTGTGATGAAAAGCCACACTGGTTAGATTAAAGCCTCTCAAGTTATCCAGTGCACACAAACTGAAGAGGAAGCCTCAGGGATGTGTTTCTTACCTACAATGCTTTTGTTTTAATCAAAAACCCTGTCACAAATTCTAACTGATGTGTGTGGGCAGTGCCTCACACTGCCAGCGTGTGCTCAAAACCAACTCAAATATCACACAGCACCCAAAACAGCTGCTGAAAAACACACAACATCTAAAGCACTGGGACAAAAAGAGAGGGGAAGAACTATCAAGTGACAAGTTTGAAGAGTTCAGCTAAGAAAAGCAACAGCAGACCAGCTTCCCAGATGCCAACGCTCTGTCGTAAACCCAAGAACCATAACTGCTCAAACTTTAAGACCTATTTGCAGCAGGGATTAACTTCTCTAGGGTTTTTTTTTAGCCTTGCCACTATTATTTCAATTTTTTTTAAAGCTTTATCTGCTGGTATGACTCAGCTGGAAAGAGTGAGTCTATACTTTTTGGCAAAGGCCTTAGCCTAGTCTTGGATCATGCTCTAGACACTTGATGTAGACTCAGAAATGGTGCAATGTAATCACAACAGTTTCCAAAAAGAGCAACAAATCTTTTACTAACCAAGCCTTGGGGTTAGTATTCTGATTTCTCAAGCTAGACACAAGCCAAAGCAACTCACTCGGTGAAAAGTGGAGGCTCTCTGTTGAGCCACTCTTGTCACCACTTCCACAGCTGCCCTCTGAGCTTCATTGCTGATGGGGGATGGATGAGGCAGTGCCCACTCCATCTGGAATGCAACGCCCTCACAGCACCAGGGTGAATCCTTCTCCACCCATGAGCATTCAGAGAGCTTGGAATGGGCCTGGAAACCATCAGGACTCAGAGGAGCAGAAGCTTAAGTCAGCCAGCTCTGTGATGGGAAGAGATGTCAGCAGGCACAGCTGTCATCTGAAGTATTACCACTTCCATTTGTACTAATTCACTCGTTTTCAGAGGTCCTCATTCCCACCTTCTGCCTTTGTCTAACTGCCACAGATCACAACTTCCAGGCCCATTCCGACTTCCCTGAGAAAAGCAGTTTAAATTTGGATCTCTTCTCTACCTTTTGTGCCTTCAGCAGGCTTCAGAGGTCCAAATACAACCTGATAAGGGTGAGTTTTCTGCATCTCAGATTAGGAAAAGCAAAAATGCTGTCTGAGCAGCTATGAGGAGTTATGACCTACAGTTTGGAAAGACAAAGGTTACTGCACTATGACAGTATGACAGTACTTGCAAGGTCCATTGAAATGTTTCAGTACCAAGCAAGTATGGGAGAGCTCAGCATGCTGTGGACTGCATTTAAGAGCTTGTTTTTCCTCTTCTATTGCATGTTTAGGATATCATGAGCAATGCTCGTATGACAGAACAGCCTGTAAACTCACTCTGTAGCTGGCTCAAAGCATGTCTGGGTGCTCGGGGAGGGTGCCTGGCCGGACACAACAGCGCTGCAGAGAGCTGCATTCACAGCCTATCACCGATATCCCGGCTGGAAGGTGCCCACCAGGCCCATCCCAGGCCAGCCCCTGCACAAAAGCTTGTCACAGCATTGTGCTGCCCTGGGGACAAGCGGGCCGGCTTTCCTTTCAGAAGGCGCTAACGAGAGCCAGCGAGGCTGGCGGCTGAGGCAGAAGGAAGGAAGGGAGGGCACACACACAGCGCTGCTATTTCCATGCTGGCACCGAGCTCGGGGTCGGTTGAAGCCTTTCTCAGAGCTACGAGCGCGGGGCTCCCGGCGGGGGACACCTTCCCCCTTTCCCCCCCGACCCCCGAGGCTCGCAGCGCTGCCCCGCTCCGCCAGCCCCGCCGGCCGGGCCCCGGCCCGTACTCACCGCGCGGCGCCGCCGCCTCACGCCGCCATCCCGGGGCCGCCCTGAGCAGGGAGGGAGAGGCCTCCCGGAGCGCGGGACGCCCCGCTCGCCGGGGGGCGGCCGGCTGTCCCCGGAGCGCTGCCGGCCGCGGGGCGCTGCTGGCTGCGCCTGCGCGGACCCTGCGCGGACGGCGCTGCGCCTGCGCGCGGGAGGGCGGCGCTGGGAGCCGGCCTCGGCCGGATCCGCGTTTTGTGAAGAGATTTTTGCGTTTCTGGGCTCTTGTGATGAGCCGCGCTCGGGCTGGTCAGCCTGGAGGAGAGGAGGCTCAGGGCGAGACCTCAGCGCTGCTTACAGCTTCCTCACGAGGGGCAGCACCGAGCGCTTGGCTCTCATGAGCAGTGACAGGACCTGAGGGAATGGCCTGAAGCCGTGTCAGGGGCGGTCAGGCTGGATGGTAGAAAAGGATTCTCACCCAGAGGGTGCTCGGGCACTGGAACAGGCAGTGCTCACAGCCCCGAGCCTGTCTGAGTTCTAGAAGCGTTTGGACAGTGCTCTCAAGGGCACAGGGTGGGATTGTTGGGGTGTCTGTGCAGGGCCGGGAGCTGGGCTTGAGGATCCTCTGGGGTCCCTTCCAACTCGGCATATTCCGTGGTTGTTACTCAGTTGTGTTTGCAGGCTCCACTGCACCGTGTGCTGTGCTGCCTCAGAGCCAGGGAGCACTGCAAGCCATCCCCCAGCCCCTGCTCCACTGGATCCCCTTGGGGCTGGGCACAAACCACTGCGGGCCATCCCTGCATTCCCTGCTCCGCTGGGTCCCCTCGGGGCTGGGCACAAACCACTGCGGGCCATCCCCCCAGCCCCTGCTCCACTCCCTCAGGGCCGGGCAGGGACTGCTGCAGGCCATCCCTGCATTCCCCGCTCCGCTGGGTCCCCTCAGCACAGTGCTCTGGATCGTGTCCAGGGCCATGGGAATATCTCAGTGCAGCCTGTTCCAGTCACCCATGCAGTGAAGTTCTTCATGTCCAGGTGGAAATTCCAGTGTTCCTGTTACTTCAGCACCACTGGGGAGAGCCTGGCTCCATCCTCAGAACACCCTCCCTGCAGCTGCTCACAGGCATTGATAAGCTCCCCTCTCAGTCATCTCCAGCCTAAACAGCCCCAGCTCCCTCAGCTTTTCCCTGTAAGAAAGATGCCATCTGCACAGCCCTCTCCTGACTCGCCTTGGGGTGCTCCATGTCTCTCCTGTACTGAGTAACCCAAGGGAAAGAAGAAAAATAGTCCATGAAAAACAAAACCAAAAACCACAAAGACCAACATTTGGCATTTTCACAACCATTTAAAACCAGTTGCAGGGCCACCCATGTTTCCCACAGTTTTCCACTTGGCTGGCCTGTGCATTTTTGATAGTTATGATAAGACCTGCTCTCCCACTGGCCCTACAAGTGAAGTGTATCCAGCCTGGGACAGTTTCCCTCTGCTCTGCCATTATCCTGGGCTGACCTCTTTAAGGGGTATTTAAAATTCCTGGTTTATGGCACTGCAGAGGAATGGCCCTAAAGCCTTTGGCTGATGCCAGCTCTGATGGTTCATAGTAAAAATAACTACTAGATGCCAGCTATGATTCCCATGGCACTCAGGGGACTTTCAGGATCCCACCCAACACCAGCAGCCAGCAGGCTTCACCCAGGGAACTGGGCTGCTCCGAGCTGCTCCAGCACATGCTGCTGGTTACAGCCTGCAGGATTGATACTGGATCCAACTGACACAACTTGAGGTCTCCAAATCCTTTTGCAAACTGCAATGTGGACCCTCATGCCTAAGACTGCTGTGGGAGCTGTGTGCTCTCTTGGGTTTTGGTTGTAGTTCCAGCTTTCTATAAGGAAATGCCATTTTGCACTTGAAGCATGGCTGGCAGGGCTGTGAGCTCCCAGCCCTGTGGCCCCTTTTTCAGCAGGCAGGAACAGGGGGGATCATCCAAAACTCATATTTCAGCAGGCTCTGCAGGCTGCATGGAGCCATGCAGTGGAGTGGATCTGTAAGGAGCTGCAGAGTAAAAAGCATCTCTGGCATGGAAGGGAAAGGTAATCCCAGGCTAGTGGGAACAGCTTGTTCTGTGCAGGGCAGGAGGCCATGGGGTTTTTATGGCCTTTCTGTTCAAGCAGAAGCTTTTAAAGGACTTCTGGCTGTGCTCTGCTTTGGTTCTGGGGAGTGTTTCTTCCAGTGATTTCCCTGTCCTTTGTTTAGCTGGTTGTAAGCAGTGTCTGTTGCAATCACAAAAGCCACATCTGAGATGGAAAGGGCGTAGCCCAGACAGCAGCACCACACTGACCTCCCACTGCTCTGCGTGAACCACAAGGTGGCCATTTGTATTTTGAGAAAATAACTGAGGAGTACAGTGGTGCCAGTGTTCCTGCGTTCCCAGCCCAGGGCTGGCTGCCCCTCAGCACTTGGGATCTGCTGAGCCAAGGCTCCCCAAAGCTCCAGGGACACTGTGGGTGCGGAGGAGAATCCTGTGCTGTGGCAGAGGGGTGAGTAGGTGGAGGGTTTCACAATCCTGCAAATAGAAGTAGTGAGCAAGAACAACTTTTTCCTGTGAAAGAAAATAAGTCCTTGCTGTTGGTGAGGGGGCAGACGTGCACTGTGCCCAACAATTAATTTGCAAACTGGCTCCAATGTGGCCAAGTGTGACAGGACACACATATGTGAAACATGGCAACTGTGAAAGGTGAGATGTTAGAGCAGATGAATCCCTCTCTTTTCTGCAGATCAAACCCCCTTGCCTGGTCCTGCCTGCATCAAATCCCAGCTGACCCAGGCAGTGTGCTAGAGTTGGCAGCTCAGTCTTAGAGGGTCAACTCTGCCCATGAGCTGGGAAAGCAAAACCAACCAGGAGCAGCACAGATATACAAAACACTCCAGTTTACTTCCAGCACCATTCACAGCATGTAAGTTACACCTCTCCCAAACAGAAGTCTTTTACTTTTCCCAGTCCCACAGCAGTGCAGTTCAGTAGTCAATGGGCTTAGAGCCATTTCCCATCTTAGCAATGGAAGTGATCTCTCGGCTTACTGGATCCCAAAGAGATTTTCCAGCAGCAAAACAGAACAAGCTGCTTCCAGCAAGCCAAGAGGCAGCAGTGCCCTGCTGTCTGTCTCCCCACAGAGCCCTGCAGGCAGTGCTGGCTGCCCTGGCTCTCTCAGATTGGGGGCACCCCCCTGAATTTCCGGATGACGTTGGCCAGCCGCTTGGCCAGCCCGCCCCGGCTGGGCTCCTCCACGTGGAACGTTCTGGTCAGCAGGTTGTAGAAGGAGCCGTAGCACACGGCCACCACGGTGCAGGTGAGGCAGATGACGTTGTAGGGCATGCTGAAGTCTGGTGTTGGCAGGTTCACCAGCAGTGGCTCTGTGTACAGGCGCACAAAATAGCTGGAGCCATCGGAGGAAGGAAACCTGGAGAGTGGAAGAAGAAAAGGCAAGGTCAGCCTGCACAGAACCAGTGCTTTGTGCTCACCAGAGAGGATGAGAGCAGCCACAGCCCACAGGTTGTGGCACAGCCCTGCTCCCCAGCACACTCACAGCGAGGTGAAGAGAGGGCTCTGCTCCACATCCATGTCCTTCATTGCAGTGACACTGGGCACCAGGGCACTGAGCACAGATGAACTAAGGGACAAAGAACATGCCAGTGTCAGTCCTGGCAGCAAAGACATCTCCAGAGACCTGGGCAGTAAGCCCTACGCAAAGCCCAGAAAGGGATGAGGAGCTGGGGAATGTCATTACCCAACATAAAAGCCGTGATTGGGGTCAGGTGGGTACTCTGTCCACTTCAGCAAGGCCCTCTCAAACTGGATTGTGATCTTGGTGACAGAGTTGGCTGGCAGCTGGATCAGCATTTCCAAGAGGTGAGGCCGTCTCCGGTCCTGGGCTGGCTGGTAGTGGATGTAACCTAACCCCAAAGAGATTTCCACAATGGCACCAGGGAAGCTTGTCCAATGTCACATTGCCTGGACAGCTCCCATGAGGTGGGTGCTCCTGCTTCCACTGTCCTGAGAGAGGTTTTCTGGCAAGTGAAGATGTATCCATAGCAAAAAGCATGTGTTAAGGCTAAGTTCAGCTGGTCTTTAAAGCTACTGACCCATGACAGTCAGGTATTCATAAGGAAAGGTATAAATGCAAAATAAAACCCAATCATCAGTTTTAAATTGAGCTTCCTATGCTACAAAAATTAATTCATGTTGGTTTAAACCCTTATTGGATTATGAAATACTATCCATGTGCCTCTTATGAAAAAAGCAGACTTAATGGTCTCATCTGCTGTGGGCACTGAACTTAGGGTCAGGAAAACATCCTAAAATGTTTTGTTTCACAATCCAGTTTCACTGGGGCCTGAGGGAGGGACTAAACCATCTTTGGAATGAGCCGCTCATGCCGAGGGAATCGGGTGGCACGTGCTGCTCGGGGGTTCACTCACTGGGCTTGTTTTCCTTCCCTTTGGTGATGATGGTCAGGGTGTGCACGTAGAGCCGCAGGTACCAGGGCACAGTCTCCAGCAGGATCACGGGGAAGGCGCGGTAGGGGTGGGTGTTGTAGATGAGGGTGCAGATCTGCCCGGTCTGCAGCCCGTACCCCCCCACGTAACGCTGAGCGTGGAGGGTGGGAATGGGCATTTCCGCTGTGGAAGAGGAAGGACAGCAGTGGGGTGATTTTCAGCCCTGGAGCCCTGGCCAGTGGTGCAGATGAAGTGAAGCTCTGCTCACTCACAGCTGTCTTGGGGCCGTTTCCACTTCAGCTGCACATTGAGGCTGCGAGATGTGTTGAAGAGTGAGGGGCTCAGCAGGTCATACACAGCGTAGGTTTTCTTGTCTCCCTGGACAATAGCTTCATGTACTGATGTTGGAGGGGGGGACACTTCCAGTAGCTCCTTTTCCTGAGGAAAGCAAATGGACCATGGAAGGAAAAAGTGCCCCTTTTGAAGAAACTGGCAGCACTGGGCAAAGTCCCTCCAGGCAGCCCTGAGCTTTGCCACCCAACAGCCAGCTCTGTGCTCCTGCTAACACCACCAGGCTCAATCCCTCAGCCCTGCTCAGAGCAAGGAAATCACCTCCCTCTGTTAGCCCCTGAGAGGCCAGGCCATGCAGAGGGTGGAGGTGAGGACGTTTCAGAGCCACATGAAGTGGCTGAACTGAGGGAGCAGGGGATGCTTTCAGGCCCATGAGCTTACCTTGTTCTTAGGGGAGATGTCAACATAGACTTTGCTCTGCGAGGCCAGAGGACACGCGTCAGTCAGCGTGCGAGAGAACATCTTGAAGAGGGACCAGTCTGTGGGAAGCAAGGTCAGGTGGCAGTCAGGCGCTGCAGGCTGGCAGCACTCGAGAACAGCCACCATGCTTACCTTTCTTTCCTTGGCCACTGGAAAAGAAGTCAAAGACCACAGTGAGGGTCTGTCTGAGCTCCCAGGACACAGCCAGGCAGGAGGCATCCTGGACAAGAAAGAGACAAGCAGCTCTGATCACACCTTCTGCAGGGGGAGAACATGAGGATGGAGCTGGAACTCCAGCAGGACTGCAAGATTTCCACTGGAGTTACCAGAGAAGCAGATGACAGCTGTGTTAGACACAGTGAACCTGTCACAGGGTGGCTGGGCAAACCAGTGTGATACCTTGCAGTGTGACACAGGGGATCTGGATTTTCTCTTGGGGTGTCAGGGAGGGAGCTGAGCCCAGCACTTACCCTGCAGATGGGGCGGATGTGCACGGCCTGGGAGTGGTAGCTGCTGTGGAACAAGCGCTCAGCCTTCAGCAGCACAGCCAGCCCGGCCTGCAGGGAACAAAGGAGAAACTCAGCCCCTGCCCTTCCTCTGCTCCCACCGAGAGGCAGGCCCTGAGGAAACCTCCCAGTGCATGCTCCCAGACTGCTGCTGGGAGCCCAGCTCCATCAGGAGCCAACTGGGCAGCAGGACCTGTCTTTACCTTTGAGCCACATGGCAGCAGCTTCTTCCAAGGGGTGAGGTTCTCTGTGCAGACGACTTCCCGGGGCAGGACAGCGTAACGCAGGAGATGGTGATCTGTCCCTGGCAGGGAGAGGGAGGAGAGCAGGCTGGGACAGCTGCAGGCATGAGCACAGCAGCAGAGCTGCTCCACCCCAGTGTACCCCACATCCCACCACCCTCTCAGGATGCCTGAAATGCCGTGAGCTCCACCAGAAGTAAATCCCACTCTGTTCAGAGTGATTGGAAAGAATGGGTAAGGACACATCCTAGCAGATCTTTTTTGTGAGTGCCTTAAACCTGTAGTCCTCACTGTTTTGTAAAACACTTTTCATAGAGATATATAAGGGCCTGGGAGCATTGGCCATGTATTATTTTTGAGTCTCCCCTGTTTAATTCCAAGCCTTGTTTGTAGGGAGAGAAAATCCTTCCAGGAAGAGGTTAACAGATGCTGTTGTACACACCCAGACCCAGAGTCGTTGCAGGACCTGCACCTGGAATGCTGGCAGTGGCACGGGGCAGAACTAAAGTGAAAAGCAAGAGTGAGAGAGCAGAGCCAGGCTCACCATTGGCTAAACCCAGGGGTTTGAAGGATGCTGTTGGAATCACTGTGTTGGTCGAGTCAATGAAGTTGAGAGAAGCACAGAATATTCCTGAAAGGATGTTGCTCAGTTCTTTCCAGGCTTTGTCAACACTGTGTGAGAACAGACACCAGAGATTACTCAGCAGCTCAAATCCTTGAAACAACAACTGTTAAGTCAGTAACATTCAGAAAATACAGCAGGGTGACCACACTGGACTACCAAAGCTGCATGGAGTGTGCAGAGAGACTGCTGGGCTGGCACTCCCCAGCTCTCTTGGTATTTTATTCTGACACATCAGATTTGAGGGACACGCGGCAGGGACACACAGCAGGGACTCACAGGCATCACACAGCCAAGGGACATGGCAGTGGGCACAGCTGGTATGTGAGGAGAGAGGCCAGGGCAGCAGGGAGCACACAGCAGGTGATGTGTGTGAATGGGGAAGGGGCTGTGACACCCAGAGCAATGCCTTGGTGCAGCAGACAAGAGATGGGACACTTGCAGGGAGGAGAGAGCTCTGTGAGTCCCCACAGGGCTGCTGCAGCTTGAACAGGGCTGGTGTGCAAGGGACACGGTGGCAGGTATTGGATGGGAGTCAAAGGAAGTGAGTCATGGATGACAGGTAATACAGCCCCACTGTATAAGCACAGCAAGGGGCCCTGCAATCCCCCCTGAACCCTCATCCCCGTGCTGTTTACCCCAATGACACACACACCCACTGCTTGGTTAGATCAGTGTTATTTCTCTCTCTGTGCATCATTAAGTGCTTGTCATCACAGAGCCCACAGGGGAATTACTTGGGCCTCTAGTGAACAAGGATTTGCCCTCAGCACCACATCCTGTCCTGTGAACAGACAGACATGTTCTGTGGGATTTTTAGAGCTACTCCTGGGCTCTTCTTCCCAGCAGACATTCTCCAGCCCAGGAGGCCGGCTCACACACCGTGGCTGCCCCAGGACAGACACACAACAGCTCCCGGGAGCAGAGGGCACAGAGGGGACCCGGAGGGACGGATGCATGGCTGGGGTACCTACTCGGTGACCGTGGGCTGGAACCAGACCCAGAGCTCAGCGCCAGCGGGTGCCTGCAGGGGCGGCTGCCCCCAGTAGCGGGTGCGCCAGAAGCCCTGGGTGAGCGCCAGGTGCAGCTCCCGCACGCCCAGCGCCGCCACCAGCCGCCCCAGCGCCTTCGGGAAGAGCCTGTAGTGAGACACTGTGGGCAGCGTTAGTCCTGCCCGCCGTGCCCGCCATCGCACCAGGGCCTGCCCGGCGCGGCACCACCCCACCCTGCCTCTGCGCGCCGTCACACGCGGCTCCACGCCCGCACCCGCGCCCTGCCCCGCGTCAGAACCCAGAGCACCTCTCTGGATGCCCTGGATGTCTCAAAGCCCTGGCAGGGGCTCGGAGACCCTGGCAGGAAGCCAAAGACACCTGGAAATTGGGCCTTAATTCGTGGAGCAAATTGCCAGCCTTATATGAAGAACTACAGGCCACAAAAGTTTAAGTAGCACAGTAGTAGCAATCACAGGGTGAAGGGAAAAATTTTAGAGCACTGCACAGGGGGGTTTTATATGTTGTACAGGGGGGTCTAGAATTCTGTGCATGGGTCAGGAGTCCCAAGATGGAGGGCTTTGGTCGTGCCCTGTCCTTCTTCTTTCTTCTCCTTGGCATCCATGTTCAGGATGATGTTGGCACGTGTGGATTGGTTCATAGAGAAAGTGCACTTGCCAACAAGGGCGAAAAGTATTGGAAATTAAAGGTAAATATCTAATACGTAGTTTTTACTATAAAAGAGACAACCGCCCCGTGGGCGGGAGAGAGTGCCCTTGGCTGTCTTGCTGATCAGACCTGGGCTGGACAGACAGAAAAACTTTGTAGATAAGGAACAATAAACGCAACTGAAGACCAAAAGCAAGAGTCCAGACTCCTTCTTCAAAGCACGGCCTGCCCAGAACCACCTTTTCCCGTGCTGGGGCAGAGACCACTGACAGCCGACCCCGGCAGCCCCGTCCCTGCTCACCTCACCCCCTCTGACGTCACTCGCCACCGTGACGTCATTGCTCGAGGCAAACCATCACAACGCGCGGTCCTCCGCGATAGCCCCGCCCCTGCGCACCGCCTCAACCAATAGCAGCGCGGTCCGCCCCCGCGCCAGCCAATAGCGGCGCGGTCCGCCCCGGCCGGGCCCGCCCTACCTGCGCCCCGCTGCAGGTCCGCGTCCCAGCGCGTGCGGAACTGGAAGGTGGCGGCCACATCGCCGGTGGGCAGCGGGCTCAGCAGCAGCTCCTCCCGCAGCGCGTCCCGCCGCTCCCGCCCCGCGTCCGCCCGCCCGGGCCCGGGCCCTGCCGCCGCCAGCAGCAGCANGCCGCTTCCGGGGCTGCGGCGGGGACGCCGTGCGCGCCCGGGCTGTCCCGGCCCGGCAGCGAGCGCCGGCGCTCGGCACAGCCGCAAATACTCCGCGGAACGGACCCGCGGGGCTGTCCGCGGCCGGCTCCGGGGCTCCGGGAGGGCCTGAGCGCTCTGCGGGAGCTCCCTCCCGCCGCTCTGACACCGGGCCGCAGGGCCGCCTGGTTCCCGGCTGTTCCCCGCGGGGCTGGCCGTGCCCGGGCGCTGCCAGGGCCCTGCCTGTCCCCGGTGGCTCCCGTGTCCCTGCCGGGGGGCAGCGCCTGTCCCCGGGTGTGGAGCCCTCCGGGAGCCCCGCTCCCACAGCCGGGGCAGGGAACGCGGCCGCGGCAAGGCAGTGACGGGCCGGTGGGGCTCACAGCATCTCCTGTTCTCCCCGTGGTGATGATTTGTTCCAGTAGGAAAGAAGCATAAAAATTACAGCAACGTGTGATTGCCACTTGCCAGCTGCTATACCTTGTCGATTACCCACTTGGTAACATCTAAGGTCCTCATGCAAAGTTGGAACTGACAATGTGATTCAGTATTTGTGAAGAATAAGGAGTTACTTTCTATCTCTTTTCCCCCTCTTGCCAAACTGTGCCCCTGGCTGGTGGCTCCAGGTCACGAGCAGCCCAGCCCTGCCCAGCCAGCTGTGGCTCAAGCTACGTCTGGGAGGGGATAGGTTGGATGTTAGGAAAAAGTTTTCACCGAAAGAATAATAAAGCACTGGGATGCTCTTCCCAGGGAGGTGGTGGAATCACCATCTCTGGATGTGTGTAACAAAAGGCTGGACATGGCACTTGGTGCTATGGTCTAGTTGAGGTGTTAGGGCAGAGGTTGGGCTCCATGATCTTAGAGGTCTCTTCTGACCTCATTATTCTGTGATTCTGTGATTGTGTCTGTGCTGCCTCTCCCTGCAGAGCCTGAGTTGCTCCCCATGGTGCCCTGCAGCGCTCCCTGCCCTGTGCTGGGTGTTCCTGCCTGGGCACAGGAGCCAGCCCTGGGCTGTGCAGCAGGAGGCTTCACCTGCTCCTGCGGGGCACAGTGAGCACCTGGCTGTGCACTGCTCTCCCTGCTGCAATCCCCCCTGAGCCCTCACCCCCCGCGCTGCTTTCCCCAATGACACACACACCCACTGCTTGGTTAGATCAGTGTTATTTCTCTCTGTGCCGTCGTTAAGTGCTTGTCTGGACAGAACCTTTGTCAGTAGGGCGGGGAACTGGGATCCCAAGGGATGGCTTTCTGGAGGTGTGGGGCTGTGGGATGCCGGGCATGTTGGGGGGTGGGGGAGTGAAGCAGGGAGTGTTAGCAGCAAAGCCTGAAGAGTTAATTTTGGGAGCTTACAGTACCCCTTTCCTTCTCCTTTAGCTGCCAGGAGAACACATGGAGGGAGAGGAGGGGAAAACCATCTCTCCCCTGTGGCAGGGCAGCAGTCCAGGGTGGGGTTAACTGAGCACCAGCAGCTTTCCCGGGCTGGTGAGTCCGTAGGGAGGAGGCTGGGAGCAGGGCAGAGCTGCCTGCTAGCTTCTCACCACCTGCTCTTTGGGACTGTCCTCCTGCAGGTCCTCCTCATCCGACTGCACCACGGGGGTCTCGGCCCCCTCCTCGCTGGTGTCCAGGCTGTTCAGATCCGTGGAGGCAGAGGACGTGGAGGAAATGCGAGACTTGCTCTCAGCTGCGTTGGGCACTGGCAGGGTGATCTCCTCTGGGCACTGCCTGGCATCTGCCCCTGGAGAAGAGGGCAGTGTGAGAATGAAAAAGGCTCTTGGAGGTTTCTTGGTGCCTGAGCTTCATGGATGGCCCCTCCTCAGTGGGCTGTGCATCCCTGACCGCTCCCCGTGTGGCTGCTGCAGCCATTCCCCTCCTCACACCCCCGGCTTGGCTCAGGGCACTTGCTGCACATTCCTTCCCCGTTTTTGGCAGTGGAGCCTCTTCCATCTTGCCTGAAACACGGCCCAGAGCCATGCTGTGTGAGGCTGTTGGCTGCAGCAGGCAAGGAGACTGTTGCTTTGACCTCAGTACAGTGTGTGAGAGGGGAGGAATGTGCTGGCACCCCTTGCTTTCCCTGCAGACCCCAGCCCAGCTCCCTGGGTGAGGCTGGAAGTGGAGAGGTTCTGCAGCCTTCCTGATCAGCACCATGAGCTCTGCAGCATGGAGGGGACCTTGGGAGCTGTGACAAGGCACTGGCTGCTCCAGAGAGGTTTTGGGACAAAACCTTCTTTGACTCAGACTCTGGAAGGTGCCTGGGCTCTTCTGTCTTCTGCAGAACAAGGAATTTACAGGGGTCTGTATGTCTGGGCTGAGGAGGTGGATACTGATGTGGAACAGCCCAGTATGAGGTCCCTCCAACTTCACAGACCCAGCACCAATACCTGCCTCTGGGTGGGTGTGGATCTGCCCACAGGGTGGCTGGGGCTGAGGAATGAGTCAGTGTGGGCACTGGGGGCAGGAAGGGCTTCCAGCCTGGCCCACAAAGGGCTTAGGACCGCACATACCTGGCAGAGACCCAGCAATGCTGCTCTCCTCTGTCCCACAGCCCAGAAACACATCCACAGTGTCCTGGTCTGACAGGTCCAGCACATCCATCTGCTCCAGCATGTCCACGTTCACCTCCATGGAGGAAATGCTGCCTAAGGGGGCTGCAGAGACAGAGGCCAGTGAAAAGGTGAGTGATAGTGCCAGGCAAAGGGCACCATGAGCTCTGTGCAGGCAGGACCCTGAGGTGGGAGACCAGCCTTGCCACAAAGAACTGAATTCTACTTGCTGGTAAGAGGTCCCAGGAAAATCATGTTTCCTTAAAACATCCCTCTGGAAGCCCCTGCTGTGTCACTGCAGTCCTTGTCCCTGCTCCAAAATGCAGCCTGCCCAAAGCCAGACTCTACAGGGCACCAGCCTGGATACCCATGTGACTTCATTAAAGGGTGTGAGTAACCCACAGCACACCCACACAGCCACTGTGGTCCCATCTTGGTTCAGGACATGCATGGCCTGTTTGGACTGGGGATGTGCCACCAATCTCCAACCCCTGTGTCACTGTCCCTGAAGCCCCCCAGCCCCGTGCTGGTGCCCACAGCACGTACGTCTCCGGTGCTCAATCTGCAGGTGAGACATGGGGAAGAAGAAATCCACATCATGCTGGAAAACCTCCTCAAAGAACTTCTGCCTGTCCCGCAGTTTCAGCTGCTGCTGCTGCATCTGCTCGGCATCCAGGTTCCGCTGGGCCTGCTCCATCTCAGCTGGGGAGAAAGGTGAGGAGAGTTGGAGCAGGCAGGGCAGGCTGAGCCCTTCTGCCTGTCCCAGCTCACCCTGCACGGCTGTGCTGCACGGTTGGTGGTTCCCTTCTGCTCTGCTTTACCAGCACACATTGATTTAGTCACCGCGGAGAGATGTGACACACCAGAGCAGCAGCATCACCAGCACCTGCTGTGCTGGAGCCTCAGATCCCTCCCCCGAGGTGCAGGGCAGCTCATCCACTGTGCTTGCAGCTGCTGAAGGGAATTCTCAAGGGAAAGGGGAGCTGGTGTGAGATCAGCCGCGGTTTGCACACTTTCAAGTTTCGGTTTCCCTGCTACCAAACAGAGGGCTGTCTGTGAATGCTAACGAGCAGGGGAACTCCCAGGGTCAAGAGCTGGCCGTAGTGCTCCAGGCTTTCTGGGCCGAAGGATGTACAAGGAATGAAAGGAACAGGCAGCCCTGTCACCCCTGCCCGTGCACAGCCCTGCCTGTCACGCCCCCGCCACCACCGTCACTATAAATGCAGCCGCACCCACGCTCCCGGCTCCTGCTCACATCCCCGCTCACAGCCAGCTTGGCTTCTGCCTGCACAAACATTGTCATTCCTGTAATTCCTCAAGCAGTTCACTGCCGGTGCCTGTGTCCCCAGCTCACGGGAGGGAGTGATGGGAGCCCTTGGGCTGTTGTTGAGGAGCTTGTTGCTGCATCCCCGCTCTTGGTAACTTCCTTTTGGGCTGAGTACCCAAAATAGCAAAGACCCAAGTGGCACAGAGAGGCTGTGGCTGGTGGCCCCAGCTGTTCCCAGGCTGGTGTTTGACCTCAGCCATTCCACATTTCCTTTCTGCTGCGCTTGGCCCAACCGGCACAAGGAAAATGTGATTATTGGAGCAGGCAGTGTAATAACCAAGGAAACCAAACAAACATCCTGTGCTCTGCCTGAGCACAACCCAAAGCCTCTGCTCCTCCAGGCTGGGGAGGAGGGAATGGAGGGAGCAGCATCCCCACCCTGTCTGGCAGGAACAGGGGCAGGGACAGCAGGGAGCTGGCTGCCAGCAGCAGGGAGCAGCACAGGAACCTCACTGGAGAAAGGTGCTGAGCCTGGTGAGATGTCATGGAGAACAATGTCACATCTTCCTGAGAGCTTTTCCAGGGCTTCTCTGCATCCTGTTTCTGGGCATCCTTCAGTGAAACCCCATCATCTGCAGGTGCTGCCCCGAGGGCTGGGCTGTGCTGGCAGCACCACGTGGGGATGCACCGTGACTCAGGGCGACTCACCGCGAGCTCTTGGAAGAGGCTCTGGTCCTCTTCTGGCTGCTCAGCGTCTTCCTGCAATGCCTGGGGCAGCAGTCCAGGCTGCCTGAAGGGCTCTTTGCCTTGGTATGTCTGACCAAAGCACTGGTGCCTGCTCTGTGCCGAGGCTCAGTGCAGGGCCCAGGATGGTGGTGCCAGTGACCCCTTTCCTCCTGGGAAAGCTGACCCACGAGTGGCTGCAGCCTGGTGCTGCTGGGGTACAGCAAAACCCTCCAGGCTCCCTGTGCTCTCTGCAGAGCAGAGTGAGGCCAGGGACACGGAGGGGGTGAGCAAGGCACTGATTATGGAGCTGTGTCCCTTCAGCAGCTGGCTGTCCCCGGCCCAGCTGTGCTCCCCGGCCCAGCTGTGCTGAATCCATGGCAAAGTGCCGCGGTTCACCACGCCGAGGAGAGCCCATCGGGCTGCAGCTGTACGGGGGCTGGGCTCAGGGCAGAGGCTGCGCTGCCTCCAGGATTCAGGGTGACAGACCAGCTCTCCACGGGACGTCCTGCCAAAGGGACCTCAGTGTGGAGGTAGGGACCAGCGCCCAAATCCTTCTGCAGTGCAAATACAAACAAACCAGAGTGCTCTTGGGTGCTGTCCCGAGTGCCGTGAATGCGGCTGAGCGGGGCTGTTCGCGCTCTCCCGGCATGTGACCGATACTCCACTAAGTGTGCTTGGGGAGGGTGATGACGGCTGCTGGTGGCAGCATTCCTGTGGGCGCCACGGTTTCTCTTGAGGGAGAAATTAGCAGGACCTGTTTATGAACTTGTTTTCGAGCTCTGGTCGGGGAGTTGGGCACGAGCACTGAGATCCCATTATGCAAGGAACGCCGGCAGCGGGAGACAGCAGCTGGGGCTGTGCTTGGCCCGGCCTGACCCGTGACCGCGGTGAGAGTCGGGGACGGAGCCTTCCCCCCTCGCACGGCTCTTCCGGGCCCAGGGCGAGCGAACAGCCCTGCCAGTGTGGCTGCCCTCGGCGAGCCTGCCGCGGAATAAAGGAGCTCGGCGCTCCCTGCCGCGGCCCTTGCATGTGACGGCCGGTCACACTCCGCGGCTGCCAGGCGCGGGGATTGTCTCATCCCGCTGGCATGTCCCCACCGCGGGACACGTTAGCACACACAATGCGGCCCCTGTGCACCGCGGGGGATCTGTCGGTACCTGCTGGTGGCCTGGCTTTCATTGCCATTGTCATGGTTATTGCTCCGGCCCGCCGGCCGGGCGGGAGGCTGATCAGCATTCAGAGCCAGGCTCTGCCCGCTGGCCGGGCCGCCCAGCGCGGCTGCGGCGGCTCCGAGCGCCCCGCTGCCTCAGATCCTTCCGGCTCTCACGGCGTGTTCCCAGCGCTGCTCGGACACCAGCCGGGGCCAAACGCTGCTGCAGAGTCTGGGCTGCAGGACAGGGCAGGATTCCCCGCAGGGATTTCCTCTCACCTGCTGCCAGGCGGATGCCGCAGGGCGGGCTGTGGGCGAGGACGATGCCCCGGCGGTCCCTCTGCCCTGCCAGGGAACAGCAAAGAGCCACCAGCCCTCGCCTTGTGTGGGCTCGTGGCCACGCTGTGGTGGGGAAAGGCGTGGGAGGGTTGGGAGGCAAAACTCCGTCAGCTCTCCCATCCACACCTTCGCCAAAGCAGGCTTGGGAGAGGAGCAACCCCTGGATGCAGTTTGTATGGAGCAGGGGTCAGACAGGGCTGGGAGTAGCAGCTCAGGGTGTGCTCGGACCCAGCTGCCTTTCTGCTGGGAGGGAATGTGCTTTTCATCCCTTACAGCCATCGGGATCATGGCACACCCCTCTGTGCCGGTAAATAGGAGGGGTGTGTTTGGGTTGGGAGAAGGATTGTTAGTGAAGGCACAAGGCCAAGAGAGGATAGGAATGGCCTTTTCTTGAGGCCACAGCTCTGCAATATCTTGCAGAGATTTCGAGGGATTTAAAGAAGGTCCTAAAAAAATATGGTCTGTGGAAGGGAGCAGCAGGTGCTGGCAAGGTGAGCAGAGTTTAAGTGGGAGGTTGCTCCAAGCATGGGGCAGTTCTCTGATGAATGAAAGGGCTGGAGTAAGCTGGCTTTTGCCTTTCTCCCTGAGCCTTCCTGGAGCCCAAACCCCTGGCTCTGCTCCTCCAGAGAAATCCAGTATGCCCCACTGCCCCCAACTTGCCAGAATGCACCTTCCCCCCCCACAGGTCTGCAAGGAGAGTGGTGGGGGGCAGTGCAGCTCCTCAGCTGCCTCGGCATCTTCTGGGAGGCTGTGCAGGGATGGCAAGCCTCTCCCTGTCACCCTGCCCCAGCACTACCCCTGCAGAACAAGGATAACTCCCAAGGGCTTTCAGCTCCTTCAGCCTTGGGAGAAGCGGCTGGCGAGGAGAGCTGGGAATGCCCAGAGAATCACGCAGGGTCAGGCCACGCAGAGATGGGATGCTCAGACAGTGGCTGCCTGAGTGTTAATGCCCTGCACAGTTCTCCACACGTCTGACCTCGTGTTGCAGCACAGCAAAAAATAGCCGTAGTCCCGATGAGAGGAAATGCACCGGGCGAGTGCGAGGGAGGCAGTGGTTTTGGCAGGGCTGCTTGCTGGGAAAAGCGGGAGGGGGGACTGGAGAGAAAGGACACGGCACCTCGTAACCCCTGTGTGTGCCGTGGTTTCATCGCCTGCACTCCTCCGAGCGATCTCCAAATCCCCTGCGTCTCAGCACTAAAAATATCCTTCCCTGCCGCCCGGAGCTCTTCCCCGGCAGAGGCTGTGTCATAAGACCCTGCTATTTGCGGGGCCCTGCTTCCTTTCATGCGAGGAGAAGCATGAGAACGGAGCAGCGCGGTGCCCGAGGCACGGCAGGCACAGCCCGGGCACGCTGCCTGGCAGGCTGCTCCTCTGCAAGCCCCGCTGCCCCGGCTGCCGCCCGCCACTGAGTTTGCTGTGCCCGGCATCCTCAGCCCTGCGGGCACGGGGGATCCGCTCCTTCCGGCAGCCGCGGCGCTCCGAGGGCTGCCCATGCCGCTCCGAAACAGACCCGCGACCCAACAGGTTCCCGAGCTCTGCCGCTTGCCAAGCAGGTGTCCCTCAAACCCCCCCGCTCCCCGAGCATCCCCGTCCCGGGCGCGGAGCTCCCCGGGCCGGCAGCAGGTTGGTGCAGGAGGGGCTGGAGGCTCCGGCGGCGGCATGTGGGGCACAGCCGCTTTGCCCGGGGCATCAGGTGGGCGCTGCGGGGAGGATGGAGGGCATGTGGCACCCTGCCCGCCCGCCCGGTGCGGTGCCCCGCTGCCATCCCGCCCAGCCCGCCCCGCGGCCGGCACTTACCGGGCAGCCGCCGGCTGCGGCTCTGCGCCCCGGGCCAACCGGCGCGCCCATCACCGCGGCACCGCCCGCCGGGGTCCCGCAGCCCGGGGTCCTGCGGCGGGGATGGGGTCTCCCGAGCGCTGGGACAATCAGAAGGTCCCCGTGGAGGGTCCCCACGGAGAGCAGGGGCTCCGTGCGCGGTGCCCGGCTCTCCGCGTTGCCGGGACCCACGGAGTGTCCCCGGGCAGGGTCCCCGGTCCCGAGGGGTCCCTGCAGAGGGTCCCTCCCCCCACAGCCGCCCAGGCAGAGATCCGTGGTGGGCTGCAGGTGCCCTGCTCCGGCAGGAGCTGTGCAGGAGGCGGGCAGGGGGAGCCGGGGGGAGGCAGGGGCTCTGCCTGGGCACGGAGAGCAGTTACCATTCATGCTTGCTTTTTCTTTCCTTCTCAAAATGCCCAGCTCACGCATTCCCGCGGGAGAGAGAGGACAGCATCATGTATTGATGTGCCCTCCCCATCTCACTCCCGGCCTCGTGGGACCCTTATCCCCGGCAGACCCCGCTCTGGGCGCTCTCTCCCACGTTCAGCCCTGCACATCGGGGCTGCTCCTTGGCAGGGCCAAGGACTTGGCCGCCGCCTCCTTCCTGTGTCTCAGCAGGGTGAGTCAGTGCCTCGCCGTGCCCAGCGCCAGCTCTGCCCGGAGCCTGGCCAGTGCCAAGCCGGAGTGGGGGACATCCACTGTGCCCTTTGCTGTGGCTGGAAGGGAGTTTCCAGTGTCTGTGGCGTGTCCCGCCTGTCCCGTTCTCAGTGTGTTCCTCTCGCTGTCTGCATAACAAAAGATAACTGAGTATTGTTTGTGTCCCAGCTCTATTTTGGCTACTGTTGCTTTGCTGTCCCCCCTGTCTCCTGGGACCTCCTGCTGCCGAAAATCGGCTTTGTGCTGGGCACCCGGAGCCTGCACCCCGGGCTGGCTTCAGCTTTCAGGGTGGTTTTGAATTTTGTCCACGTAAATGTTTATCCCTGTCCATAAGCACTCCCAGTCCTTCCTGCCTAATGTTTGCACAGAGTGTGGGGTGCCACCACTGCGGTTTGGGGGGACCGGGCTGGTGTAGCACGGGTGGGGGTTTATGGTCTCTGAGGAGCTGCGTGACCAAATCTCTGCCGGGTACCTGCCGGACAGCCCCGTGTGGCCTCCGGGCAGCACCAGCCCCGGGGCCCCGTCCCTCCTGCCCCCCTGGCCGGCCCTGCCAGCGAGGGGCGAGGAGGCAGCGCCGGCAATTAGCTCAGGTCTCTGCTATGTGACACGTCTGTGTCTTCTGGCAGCAGATGCTGCTGCGAGGCGTGGGGGCTGTTTGTCTGTTTGTGCGCACACGAGTTTCCGGAGCACCCCGGGGTCCCCAGAGCTCGCTGCATCCCGAACCCCGCCGCGGGGACAGCACATGTGGGTGCTGCCCGTGCAGAGTGACACGTTCCCAGATCCCTCGCTGTCGTGGCCCCTTCATCCTGCCTTGCCGGGAGGGCGTTGGAAAAGCACTGATATCATCGGCACCGAGCCTGACTCATCCTGGCTCTTCAGCACAAGCCGTGCCGCTCAGCGGGGCACACATTTTATTCCAATTAAACCATTACAGGCAAGCCAGCTCTACATAATGATTTTTTTTTTTTTTTTTAACTCCTAACAAAGCGTGCCTGCCCCGGGCCAAAAGGTGAGAGGGGACAGAAGTGACGCTGGAATCAGTGGAGAGTCTCCACTTCTGGTACGGAGCCCTAAGAATAAGTCTTGCCAGAAACCTGCAGGGTCTGTCTCGGCTGCCGCAGCGTCCCTGCCTCCCTTGTGCCTCCCGTGCAGGCTCTCGGCACGGTCTGGTGTCAGCAGCCCCCGCCCTTACCGCAAACACCCCGGTCACGAGCCCGGGTGGGAATGTCACCTCTTCTCCCCACGACACGGAGTCCAGCTCCTGCCAAAAGACCCCAAGGTGGGCAGCATCAAAGTGCCCCTGTCATGGTGAGAAAATGTAAGGTGACTTGTTCCTCCTGCCCTTCCTGCTCAGGTTTTTCCCGTTTATTAGAGGTTTGGGAGGTGAGTCAGGGAGCTGCGGGCTGAGGATGGAGCTGGGGAGGAATCGGCAGCTCAGGAAAAGGCAAACCAGTTCCAGGCACAGGTGAATCACTTGCTGGTGAAAATACATCTTATTCTCTGGGAGGCATGCGTGGATGGGGCTGGGAGTGAGCTGCAGCTTAACTCCATCAGAAAATTGTGGAGTCAAGAAAAAAACAAGGCAAGGCAAGGCTGCTTTTCCAGTAAATGAGGAGATACATTGCAAGGGAGCAGCCTGCAGCCGGCAGAGCTCCAGCAACCCGTGGTCCTGTGGCTCCCTTAAAAGGGGCGATTTTAGCCCGGGACAGCGGGGAGACAGAAAAGCCATAAACACCCTCAAAGGAATGTGGCTGCCGAGAAACGAGAATCTCCGCAGGCGAGGCGAGGCGGGGGGAGCCTGGATGGGGTTTGCACCAGCACTCCGTGCCTGGAGGCAGCCAGTTCCTTGGCCATGCCCTGTCCCGGGGGAAGACCCCCTGTCGCAGCGCTAACAGTCCCTGTGTGGTGCTGGGAGAGGCTCCTGCCAAGCCCCGGGGTGTGATGTCCCCAATCCTCGGGCCCCATGCCATGCAGACATTCCTGCCTGCCAGCTGCTGGCACGGGAGCAGGTAGGGCTGGGAGGTGCTGTGCAGGCAGCAGGACACAGCCTCGGCCAAAGGAGGAGCAGGCAGGGCTGGAAGAGGGTGCCTGTCCCAGAGGAATTTCCTCTTCATCACATCCCACTTCTTTCAGGCAGCTGAGCTATTCTGCACAGACTTTGCTCTCGGTGCCATGGAGCAGCCCTGTGTGTCCTGAAGCATTGTGCAGGTTCTTGGGAACAGCCCTTGGGGCTGGCTTGTCCCTGCAGGTAGCTGTGGGCATGTGGTGACATCTCTGGGCCAGGCTCTCCCCTGCGTGTCCCAGGCTGGCAGCAAATGGAATGTGCCTGGCTGAAATGAACATTCTGCTTGATTTTCTTCCAAGGCTGATGAAGCACATGGCACTCATCTGTAAATAAATCTTTTAAAATGATCTTTTGCAAAGAAATAGTCTTTGGTTTTCACACCCCAGCTCTTTTTGCATTAGATTTGGGTACCTGCAGCTTGCAGAGTTGTAGTTTCCAATTGCTCCGGGTTCCCTGGGCTGGAGGTGTCTGGGTGTGGTGGCACAGCTGCCCCGGGGGTGAGGGTACCCGTGCACAGAGGGGTCCCACTTGTGAGGGTCCTGGTACCAGTCATGTTCATGGGCTGGTGCAAAGCAGTGTCCCCAAGAGCAAAGCTGTCACCAGCAAAGAGAGGGGTCTGACATCACCAGCCCCCACAGCAACACCACCAAAGCAGGCAGGAAACTTTCTGTTCCCCTTCCTGCTGGAGCCAAAGGGATTTCTGGAGTGAGAGCTGGGATCAAGCCACAGACATGCAAAATCCCAACTGATGCAGCCTTGGGAATTGCTGAGCCAGGGTCTGGGCAGAAGGTTTGGAGCTGCTGTTTAGTCCTTTGACCCTTCAAACGCTCTGGGTTTTGCTTCCCACCCTTCATTGTGCTCTCCTGTGCTGTTCAAGAGACTCAAGCCAAGCGAAGAGTTCCTCGCCCTGCCCGGAATCCTGCTGCTGGCAGTGGGCACTGCCCCATGTCCCCGACTCGTGTCACACCTGGAGTGGGCAGCAGAGGCTGCGCTGGGCAGGGGTGGGGGTCTCTGGGGTGAGGATGCCGGTACCGGGGCGCCGTGGGCGCTGGTTCCTGGAGGTGGAAGCAGAGTGTGGGGAGGTGCAGGGCTGCGGGATCCCGGGGCTGCGGGGAGAGGGGCCGGGGTGCCCCTGGACGCTCGACAGCCTCGGCCCAGCCCCCTCCTTAATTAGCCGCGGCCGAAGCCGCTCATTAGCGGCGACTGGGGACGGGTGCCCTCCCCGCGGAGGCGGGAGGGAGGGGAGCGCTGCCGGCCCCGGTGGTGCGGGCACCGGCATAGGCACCGGCACAGGCACGGGCACCGGCAGCGGAGCGGGGCTGGAGCCGAGCCCGGCGGAGGGATGGGGCAGCGGCGGGGCCCGGCCGTGCTGCTCCTCGCCCTGGGTGAGGGGATGCCCGGGCGGGGGTCGGGGCGGGGGGACCGGGCGGTGTCCGGGGGGAGGCGGCGATGCGGCGATGTGTCCCCTTCTTCCCTCCCTCTCTCCGTTCCTCCAGGCGGGGTCCGTGCGGCTCCCGCGGGCTGTCCTCCCCCGGTCGCTGTCCCCGCCCCGGGCCGGGGTGCCGGTCCCGGGATGGCAGCCCGGGCCGACTGGGCTCTGGGCAGACCCCGACAGGGCCGGGCACAGCCGGGGGCGGCGGGGGCTCGAGGCTGTCCCGCATAGAAGGGGCTGCTCGCCCAGCCGGGGCACCCCGGGGCGGGGGTGGGCTCTGTCCCCAGAGGTGCCGGTGCTCACTTTGCCCCCGGTGCTGGCAGGGCACCTGGCCGGGCTGCTGGCAGCGGGACCCGCCTGCGCCGACGCTTACCGCGGCCTCTCGGACTGCGTCCTCAAGCTGGGGGACAGCATGGCCACGTACGAGGAGGAGGAGGGCATCGAGCTGCAGGGGCTGCGCCGGGTCTGCAGGTGAGTCCGGTGCACGGCCAGCCTGGCTTCTGGCATTGTCCCTGTCCTCCCGAGCCCCGGCGTGCCCGCACACACACATGTGCTCCACACCTCACTCCGGTTTCAGATTGACCCAGTGAGCTTCTTTTCTCCATCCATCCATCCATCCATCCATCCATCCATCCATCCATCCATCCATCCATCTCCTACCTGTCTCCCACCGGAGTTTGTATCCCTGGTCCTTGGCAGCAGCTGCAGCCCCCAGCACTGGTCCCATCAGTCCCTGCATGCCCGCAGCCAGGAGCGGGGCTGGGGGGACCCGAGCCGCTCTGCACCCCAGGACAATGTCCCCTGGACCCCAGGTTTCAGGCAGTGCTCTGCCCCAGTGCCCAGCGCTGCCGGGAGCAGCCTGCACCCGCCACCACGTGCAGCCCAAGCCAAGCTTTCCCCCTCCCTGTCTACACCCTTCATCCTTCAGGCTTGGATTTGTCCCAGGCCTGGTTTGCCCGAGTTTGTAGTGATTCCCTCAGATATTGGGAAGTTGTTAACTTCTGCAGAACTGAAGAAGAGGTGGGCAATGAGGGGTGGTGTTGGGTAGGTTTGGGGAAAGGTTCTCCTAAAAAGCAGATGAGGAGAAGCAGCAAGGTGGATGTAAAATGTTTGCAGAGATAAATGGAGGCAGCTTTGCATCTCCAGAGTGTGCTGTAGGGAATGAACAGGAGTCACAAGGAAATGCAGATAGCAATGAAGGGAAAACCCATGTGCCCGGGGGTGGTGGAAACCTGGCAGAGCAAGGTGGAGGGCTGAGTGCCCTGGGGTCGTGCTTTCCGAGCTGCTGGAAACCACCCTGCAGGCTGTGACCTGCTCTGTATTCCCCCTTCTCCAGGATTCAGCCTGGATCGGGATGAACAGCCTCTCTGGGGCCTGCCAGTGGGTGGGTTGAAATGGGAACTGCTCTGGTTTGGATAGAATTGATAATTTTTTGCTTGTTTGGGGTTTTATTAGTAGAGGCTTCTTGACCCCAGCAGTCAGCTTAGCCCAGCCCATGCTGCTGCTGGAGGAGCAATTCCTTTGCTAAAGCTCATGTGAAACGTGTGAGCTGAGTTTTTCCTGCAGCTCAGAGGCACAGACCATCCCCAAACAGGTCCTGGGATCTTCCCTGGCAGGAAGCTGATGATGTCCCAGCTTTCTGCCAGGAAATATTTCTGAATTATTTACCTTTGATGCTCAGCTTTATCCATGGCTGTTTGAAACCATTTCTGGAGCTAGTCCCCTCTCCAGGAGGGTGGGTGAGGGATGGACAGGGAGCCAGGAGCTGCTTGGGGGGCTGGTGGTGTCTCAGCTCGGTGTGCAGTGCTGCCCCAGAGCTGGCCTGGCAAGGCACTTGCCAGCAGCCTGAGCAGATGGGGGCTGTGAAGGGTGAAAGGCTGGGAATTGCCACTCCAGCTGAAAGCAGATCCAGGCCAGAGCTGCTGTTCCCCTTCACCTTCCCCAGCTTGTGTTGCCTGAAGACAAGTCAGGTTTAACTCTTACCTGTCAGAGCTGCCTGCTGCTGCTGCAGGTCGGGAGCGAGCGCTGGAGGTTGCCAGGGTTGGCACCAGCTTTTCTCATTATCTGGGGACGTTTCTTCTGCCACAGTGACTCTGTTTAATGAACTCCCTCACAGCTGGCGTTCTGACGTAAGCCCCGGGTCCAAGCAAGCAGAGTGCCCAGGTTTGCCTGTGTGCACAAAGTGTCATCTCCAGCACAGTGCACTCAGCCAGCACCGTGCTGTCCTTTACAGGTGCAGCGTCCCCTCTCAGCCAGCTGGACTGCATCCCCTTCCTGACAGGTGACATGTGTGCCTGGTGTGTTGGCAGACACAGGGAAGGTGTCAGAGCAGTTGCTCCTGTCCTCTAGACTCCTGTCTCCAGCTTGCAGGGAGCTGGGCATGGTGCCCAGCCCATGTGGGACAGGACAGCAGAGCAGTCCTGCTTTATTCCTGCAGCACCAAGGGTTATCTTTGCCTGTTTCATCTTTTCCCTCTGGTAGTCTCCAAAACCTCTTTCCACTGAACAGCTTCTGCTTGTGAAAGTAATACCCAGCAGATACATGGAGATGATTCTAATGAGAACACAGTGAATAACTCCTCCTGCCCCTGCCCGTACCTCAGGAAAAGCTGAGACAGCCTGTGGGAGCTCTTGTCCTTCTCCGTGCTTTGTGCTCCCATGTGCCCTTGACTCTGCTTGGAGAAAGTGATGAATGAGATGTGCTGGGCCTTTGTTTGCAGCCTGTGTGAGATACTCAGGGAAACATTTGTTGATGGCAAATAATGGATTTTATTGACTTCCAGAGAAAAGGGGGAGGGGGAAAAGGAATAAATAATTTCAGTGTTTTGAGATTTGGAGTTTTAGCCAAGATGCTCTGGCAGATGATGGAGGGGATGAATAGTCTGGGAAACTTGCACAAAACACGAGGCTGTCGCTGCTCAGAGGGCAGGCTGAGGGCAGCAAGGCTCTCCCTGGCATCCCACACGGTGGGAGTGCAAAGGGACTGACAGTGTGGTGTCTCCCTGGCTGCAGGTATTGGGATGAATTCCACACCTGTGCCCTGACAGTGCTCTGGGACTGCCAGAAGGAAGCAGCAGCTGTCTGGGAGATGCTGAGAAGGGAGTCCCGAAAAAACAAATTTCAAGGCAGCTTGTTTGACCTCTGCAGCCCCAGCATGGCCCAAAGCTCTGCCTGGACCCACGTTCCCAACATTTCCATCCTCAGCATGCCCCTCATCGTCACTTGGCTGAACTTATAAACTGCAGCTCTGTGAGTACCCCAACTAAAGTGGTGGCAGTGCGTGGCGTGGCATCTTTCAGATCTATTTTCCAAACCTTTGAGGAATACACTGTGTGGAGCTCAGAAACTCCCAGCTCCATCCTGCGCCTGTGAGACATGGAAGAGCTTGGCAGCATCTCCAGGGTGTTGAAATTTCTCTGTAATTTGGAGTAACTCCTCTCCCCCTTCTGCCTCAAGGCACAGGCACAGATCTGGCTGTTGGGAGATTTGGGAACTTGTAAATACAGGGCACAGGATTTCGGGAGAAATGATACATTTCTTCTGGAAAATGATGAATGCTGGATACTTCTGCACTCTTTCATGGCAACTGGAAGGAAACCTGTTTACTTTGCTGACTCTTTCCACCAGATCAACTCTGCAGGGTTTTGATTTGGACACTCAAAACAAGATGGGTGTTTTTCCCACTGCTCCATGAGGTGCAGTGGATGGTGTCTGTCCTGTCACAGGCTGAAGGGAAACCTTACTGCCCTGAACTGACCTTTCTTCTTTGAGGATGTGGTAAAACCCCTGCTGAACAATGATCACAGTTGCATGACTTCTCTTGCACACATCTGAATTCCTGAATTCTGTGTTATGCATAAATCCCTTTTCAATGGACAGAGGTGAAAAATATTTGGGGAGAGAGGGAGTATCAAGCTAGGAGGACAAAAGGGATTTATAGCAACTCTTCTGCTTTAAAGCTTTCCCCAAGGTACCTGTAAGCAGCTGTGGGTAGAAGTGTGTAATTCCAGAGTATTAAAGCTTGTTGTAGAGCCAACAGCATGGCAGAAGTTATTTGTCCTGGCTCTTACTCGACAGCACAGTCTCCTCTTGTCTCCTTTGTGGCTCAGAGTGTTGTCAGTTTTGCAGCCTCAGTGCAAGCATGGAAGTATTTGGAACAGAGAGGTGTTTGCAAGTGGTTTCTGAGTACGTTGGAGAAACACAACAACATTACTGGTTAGCCCAAGGCAGTCTGTGTTCTAAGGATGCTGATGGATCTCTGTGCCCTGCCTGGGGGCACAGGGCCATGGGGTGTGTGCTCAGTGTGAGCAGGGGAACCAGGGCCCTGCTAACTCCACAGATCCCACCAGATGCATTCCAGGCACAGGGCAAGCCTCTAGAGCAAAGGATCTTAGTCCTAACACTGGTGTTGAGTCATGCAGCTTTCCTCTGGCATTCACGTGTTCTTCCTCTTACCTTCACTATCCCTCAACCCTCTGCTCCTGCAGCAGCAGCAGCAGATAATGAAGAAAATGGAGCAAATTCCAAGAAATAAGCCAGGGCAGAGCAGCTGGTGTTCAGACAGCACTTCAGTGCACAAGTTGTTACTTATGTATTCAGTACTCAGCATCTGGGGCACAAAGCCTTAGGGTGAGCAGTGGAGAAAGGTAATTCAGAGCATGGTAAAACCTGGAGTGAACCACTCCGATTCAGCTTCACTTCTTTCTTTGTACTCCACACCAACAGCACTGTTTTTTCTCTGATTCTGTTCCCCCCTCCCCTGTTAACTTTAGTGGCTGGGGAAATCTGAAGCAGGGGAGTCATGTACAACCAGGGCTGGAGTATGAATCCCGTACCTGTTCTTTGTTTAGAACAACTGTTTAATGCCATTAGGAAAAGAAGTAAGCACAGCCCCATAAAATCTCACAACCATTGCCTTCTATTTGAATTTGGCAATTCCTCTCTTGAAATTTTCTACATTAAAACAGCTTTGGGGAAAGGGAAGGTAAAAGAATCAGATTGGCAAGAAACCTTTTTGCAAAACCATGGATGCACATGGATGATTGTCACTGTCTCTGAGAAGAACAGGTCTTGGGACATATCTTCCCTGGAAGCAAATCCCTCAACTACTGCACACAAAAAACCCCCCAAAGATTCATTAAGAAACAAAGACCATCTGCCACTGTTCTGGTATGGAGCAGCAGATTTTTTTTTTGTAAGCCAAAGGTGCTTCTAAATCTGACTGAAAGCATGTGAGAGAAAACTAGGTCTCACAGTATGGGAGTGATGAGTTTCCTCAATCAGTATTTCATTTTTAGCAGAACTTCCTCTATGACTAGGACAATTAAAGTAGAAGTCCTTAAAAAAAAAAAAAAGTAATACACGGGTTCATTTCTCCTAGGCAGTCAGCAGCCTTTCAGAAAGATTTCTGATCCTACAGCACACTTCATGGTGCTGCAGTGCAGCTCCTGGGATGTCCTGCAGCCTCAGTGTTAAAGCCCCATTTGTCAAGGATTCTTCTCATGGCTTTGCTGTGAGTTTCTCCAGATACAAAGCTGTCCCCAGATTTCCGCCCCCAGGGAAGCTGCTGAAGCTGTTCCAGCATATCTTGTGTATTCAAAAAGAAATGGGTTAAATGTTCCTCAGTCCAAAGTCTCCACCTTTGCTCTTGCAGGGGAACAAAGGTGGCAGCCCTGTTAATACAGACCCACAGCAACTCTGGGAGCAGCTGGAAGAACGTGGCTTTGTCTCCTTGCTCTCAGATTCCCTGACTGTAATTAATCCTCCCGCTTGCCTCAAGAACAGCCCTGAACACAGGAGTTCACACCAGGCTTTGGTGTGGTATTAAGCCTTGAAGTAAACCTGCAAGCTTTCCCTGTCCCTGCAGGACTGGGATGTTCTTTCTCAAGAATAGCACCAAGAAGCAGCAGAGGACAAAATGACCCTGCAGGAGTCTTAAAACATGACTAACAGCACGGCAGTTCTCGTCACCCCGAGGCAGCACTGCCCTCTGCTCCACCCCTGACCCAGCCACAGCACACTCCCTGCTCCTTTCTGAGGCAGACACTGGCACCTACTGGAGACCAGTTTGTATCCAGGCTGAGGTGACTGCGAGAAAGGCAAGTGTCCTTGTACGTGAAAAATGAGCAGGTTTTGAGAAGGGCTGGACTGTCTTGCTGCAGGGGCAGCCCTGGGAAGTGACCTCGGGGTGGCCTCCAGGCTGGCTCCTGCCCAGAGAAACACTTGTGTAAACTCTTCCCTCTGAAAGGCTGCTGCTGTTTGAAACTCTGCTTACAGGGGCTTTGGTCAGGAAGGGCTCCTGGTGAAATCCCCCAGTATAAAAAGTGTTGGGGGACTTGTTTAGACAGAAATCCTCCTCTGGAGACCTGCTGAGTATGTAAAGCAGCAGGATGTCATCCTGCCCCCATTTACAGTGTCTGAGTGGGAGAGCAGGGACTGAAATACAGCTCAGCTGCCCAGTAACAGAACTCTAAAGAGCAGCTTCAGGGAGTTTATCAGTCTGACACCGTCCCACCACTTTTCAACAAGCTGAATTAGCAAACTATTTATGCAAATTAAAACTTACAAATATTAACATACAAAGGGAAGTTACTGCTGCAAGATGCTACACAGGAGAAAAATCTGTCTCCAGACCTGGCTTTGCCCTTGTTTGGGGTTACACGTGGCCACCCCTCAGTGGAAACAGGCAGGGTGTGGGGCTGCTTGCTTGGCCTGTTGGATCTGGAGGAATCACCCAGCTCTGGAACCTCAGCAGTAAGGGGATGTACCTGCCTGGTGAAGTTTATTTGAAGGACCTCTAAATATTCAAGAAATAACAAGTCTCTTGCTTAACATCACCTCTACCAGGCAAGACCTGTTGCTGGACTGCTGAAGCCTGATGGGAAAGCCCATCCAAGGGGGAAGAGCATCATGGCTGCAGGATACTTCTGCAGGTTTCCCCAGGGCAGCTCCAGGCTCAGGCTGGACATGTGGAGATCCTGGACTGCTGACACTCCCTCTGAAGTGGGGTTATGCCAGCTGACTCCCCAAGACAGCACTCAATGATGCCTTCCTTTCAGAGCAGAGGTATGAAATGTTTATTGTAGGAAATTTGATGTGCCCCAGACAGTGGGCACCTCACAGCCAAGTGTTTTCTGGCTGCATCCTTCTGTTGCCATGATACAGACACTCTGGTATTTCTTGAAGTGCTCAGCTTCCCAGGAGAGCCGTCACACTCACAGCAACATTATATTTTTATTATTACAAAAGATTTCTTCAGCAAACTGCTGTCTGTCACCTCTATGTATCAAACATGGAAACGGCAAACAAACCCATCTAACATTACAGGTTATTATTTAGTGTCTCAGCTGGTGATTCAGGTAAGTACAACTATTTTCTTCCTCCCCATCCATTCACTTCCTTGACTCTTTCCCAGGCAAAGCCCAAAGAAGTCACAGATTGGAAGCAGCAGCTCCCAGCCCCACTGCTCACCGTGCCAGCTCCAGCAAGAAGAGCTGACCATTGTGTCACCCGTTCAGGGCACTCCCACATCGTTCAATTCCAAATGCTCCTCACACACCGAGTTTTGCTACCTGGCTTTTAACAGTCTCATGAGCGAAGAGTTTAAGGGCACACTCTCCATCCAGTCATATTAATCCTTTGTGTTAACAAAATAAACATCTGCTCCTCCCCCGCTGTCAGCCGATGCCAGAGGAGACGCTCACACTCATGCAGTCACCGAGGTCCGAAAGAAAAAAAACCATAAAGTCTAAACAGACCTGCTGTGCTTCTCGAGGGGTGGTTCTGAGGCATTGGATGCATTGTGCTGGGAACAATGACCAAACGCAGCGTGCGGCTGCCAGAGGCAGTGAGTCTACACGTTGGACTTGGGGGCGGAGTTGAGGGGGATCTCCCGGAGCTCTATTCTCATGCACAGGTACTCCCCGATGGCCGCCATCAGCGCCGTGCACACGATGTGCACCAGCCACCACGTCAGCGTCGAGGGGAAGCGCGAGTTGTAGATCCAGCAGCCCAGCAGGTGGAAGAAGTGAACGGTGACGGTGAAATCCAGGCACTGCTTCCCTCGGCGGATGAAGTACAGCAAGCCCAGAGCACTGCAAAGCAAAGGCCAGGGGTCAGTGAGCTGCACCAGGCCTATGGGAAAGGTGCTGCAGCAAGAGCTGTCAGTGCTCATTATGCAGTGCGTTTAAAACTTCATCAAATATTTCAAGAATGGGTTGTGTCTGACCTCTCTCCTGGCTGCTGCAGCAAGACTTGCAGGCTTACAGCTTTTTAATTACATGACGGCAGGAAAATTAGATTTTAGTGCTGAGAACAGACAGGAATTTATAGACTATCTCCTAATACATTAGTGTTTATAGACCAGTGTTTGCTGAGATCCATTAATTCTAACTTTTAGTAAAATCTCCCACAAAAGCACATCTCATTCCCAGCTGGGAAACTGAGGCAGTGAAGTGAAATTACTTTTCCAGGTTCTAGAAAGTCAGCAGTTCCCCACTGCCCTCGGCAGACATGCTTAAGAAGGCACAGGGGTTTTGGGAGATGTTTGGAGAGAGGCAGTACACCACACTGAATTCTATTACAGCTTAATGGTACGAAAGGACAAGATGCAGGTGCTCCAGCTAGCTGCAGACTTACCAGGTGAGTGCATTGAGGATGAAAGCCATCATGGAGAGCCTCCCCGGCGGGGTTGAGAAGCCTAAAATCTACATGGGACTATTAGTAGGAACCCGCGGCACAGATCGCAGCCCGAGTCTCCCGTGGCACAGCCCTGCACGGATCAGGATCTACGGGAGGAGCTGGACATGTCTGTCTGTCTGTCTGGGGGCACCTACGGGAAAGGGAAAGGTCTGGTTCTGTGCTGAGGGGAACAGCCTAAGCTGGGGGTGGAGGGTGTGCGTGCACAGTGGGGCTGTTCCTAGGGGCAGGGGAGCTGTCTCTATGCCGGAGTACCTCTGAAGGGTGTCTCTATCAGGGTGTCACCCACAGAGAGAGGTGCTGCCTCTCCACAGGGCCACCACCTGCACAGGGCGACTGTCCCTATGTAAGGGCTACCTCCCACCATGCTCCGAAGGACAGTCCTAGCCCGGGCACCTCCTGTTCAGAGGGGCGGCTTTGCCTCCACACCGGGGCACCCACACAGGACAGAGGTCAGCACTGGGGGCTGCTACACGGGCCAGCACACCGGGGTGCTCCCAGGGCGGGGGCTGTCCCTGTCAGCGGGAATGCCCACACGGCAGCGGGCTCCGTCTCCCTCAGGAGAGCCCCAGCAAATCCCCCCGCTCCTCCAGGGGCCTGTGCCCGCGGCGGCGGCCCGGGCCGCGCCCTCACCTCGTCGCTGAACATCTGCTGGAGGGAGGGCCCGGTGCTGCCCAGGGTGCCGAGGAGGGCGAGCCAGAGCCCGAGCGAGCTGTAGTATCCCGCCTGCAGCAGCACCATCTGCGCCACGATCAGCGCGGGGTCCCACACGTAGCTGCGGAACTGCGCCGCCATCGCCCGCCCGCCGCCCGCCACGGAAGTGCGGCCGCCGCCGCGCCAGGGCGCCCCCTGGCGGGCGGGAGGACCCGCTGCTGCCCCGAGCCCCGCCCGCGGCCCCGAACCCGCTGGATCCTGACCCTGGTCGATCCCGCTGGTCGATCCCGCTGGATCCCGATCCCGCTGGATCCCGATCCTGACCCCGCCCTGCTCGATCCTGATCCCGCTTATCCCCATCCAGATCCCCGCCCTCTGCCCCGACCCCGCTTGATCCCAATCCCGACCCCGCTCTATCCCGACCCTGCTCAACCCCGATCCCGACCCCGCTTGATCCCAATCCTGACCCCCGCCCACTGCCCCCGACCCGGCTCCCTCCGTGCCCGGTGTCCGTCCAGCCCTGTCCCTGCCCCGGCTCGGTGCCTTCAGTAACGTGGATAAAAGCTGCTATTTGCCAGCAAAAATTTTGTCGGTTCAGACAAAGCTGACTAAAACTCCAAGCTAGTGTAAGGTAGGTATCATTGCTGGGTATCTTTCCACAGCCAAATACCTGACTTATCCAAAAGTCCACGCTGTCACACGATACAAGCCGGTGTTTTGGGAGGTGTTGACTTGAATTGCTTTGGAATTTGAGGCTCCTCCCTGCTTGGTTGCTGCCCTTGTGACCGAAGGTGTGGAATAGCCACAGCAGCAGCGGAGCCTGAGGTGTGATTTGAGGCTCCCTGCTGCCCTGGACAGGCAGAGTACCCATATGGACACGGGGAGGGCACACAGGCATTTGTGCTGTGACTCAACTGCAGCCCCCTTTGTGAACTTGTTTCCTGTCTGACTTTGTGACAGCGTCTTTCATGGTCATGTTTGTTTGTTCCTGCTCCTGATTGGGCTCTCTCTCCTCTCCAGGCTGCTCCAGCATAGGGGACTGTGTCCTTCTCCTGGAAAAGAGGGTGTTCTCCCCATGGGGCACCTTGCCCCCCACTCCTCCTCTGTGGAATAAGGTTTAAAGTGGACCTGGAAAGCAAACAGTATTGGGGAATTAAACAGCCTTCTTAATTTCTCTTTTCTTCCTCTTTTGTTTAAACAAAAAGTTGGAGACAGCTGTGGAGGAAGCGTGTTAAAGAGGAAAAGGATGTTGAAACACAAAGACCATGATTTCTAGGGTGCCACAGTGGGTGCTGCTTGCCTGATTTCTGGTTAGAATGTCCTTTTTAAGCAGTGACTGTTCTGTGCGTGCCACCTGTGTGTTGTGAAGAGAGCAGGTGGAAGGAGAAGTGATACACGCAGGATGCAGCTGATGACTTGAGGGTGTACCCAGATCACATGAAACTATTGTGGCCATTTCTTTATCAGGAGCGTAGGAAAAGAATACCCTATTTAGCTACAGATTCCTTACATAAAAAATAGCTGTCTAGGAGGGTACTGTTTTCCTCCCCAGGAATCACAGCCTAAAACAGGAAGCTGTTTATTTAGGTGGTCTGTGTTTTACCAGCTGCTGTACAAAGGGCAGCGCTGTCTGAATGACCTTTGCTGGGGTTATTTCCCTCTTGACTGGAAGGTAGGAGTTGTGCTAAGGTCACCTTTGCTAAAGGGACAGCAAGGCTAAGAGCACACATTTCCAGAATAATTCAACATTAAGTGGCTCAAACCACGGGATGAGAGTTTTTAGTCACTCCTCTTCCTCCACCCACATGGTGTGCAGGTGTGTTTTTCCAAAGAGTTCAGTGTACTGAATGGACTTTGGAAGTTAGGATTTTTAAAAACTCTACTTAAGGTTTCTTTTTGCTTGAGAATCCTGCTCTAAGCTATTTTTAAAAATTTGCCTGTAGGAACTGTGCTGAGCTTGGCTGGAGAATCTCTTCCTGATTAGTACAACAGAATTTACGATCGAGTTGTTTAAAGGGCCTTGTGTGTGGTCTTCTCAAGATTATCTAGACATTTCTTGATGTGCCATGTAAAAGTGTGAGTCCCTTCACCCTCCAAATGTGTTGCATTTGGACACTCCATTCCACTTCCAGCAAGTTTGTGTTGTGTTGGTAACTGACAGCTGTTTATTTTGATTTTCAGCATGAGCGTTAGGTAATCCTTCACCGTTGAGCACTAGGTTAGGAAGAATGGTGGCCAGCCTGTTGTTTCTCTGCCAACTGTATTTTTTCTGTGGAGAATGCAACTGACACACCTGGAATGTGAGAATTCATTGCCCAGAACAAATGTGTTTCTCAACACGCATTTTATTTTGCTTCTGCTTCTCTCCCTTGTGGTGAAGTTTCAGGAAAGGACATTTCAGTGGTGCATTTTTGCTCTCTGGGCCCATTTGTCCTGTTGCTGTCTCAGAGTGTCACATACCCATGGATTTTCTGCATTATTCCAGAGAGGAGAATGTCAGTGTCTTGAAAGGAAACACTTGAAGGGCAAAATGAAGGCAGATGTTTTATGGCTGTGAGTTTAGAATCATATTATGATT